TAAATAAATAAATAAAAAAATAAAAATAAAAAGAGCATTTGTCATTAATGGTAAATTTTCAAGCTGGACAAAAGTGGTAAGTGATGACCCTCAGGGTTCTGTTCTGGAACCGCTTCTATTTAACATATTTATAAATGTTTCAGTGCTTGTAGATGACAAAAAACTCTGTAAAAGAATAAAATGTGAGCAGAGGGCTGGTGCGTCCATAAGGTGGCACCGACCCGGGGGGCGCTAGATTACAGTCAGGGCCGTCTTTAAGGAGGGGCAAAAGGGGCAGCTGCCCCGGGCCCAGTTACTCCTGGGGGCCCTAAGGCAGCTTGCCCCATGGGCCCCCTGCAGCACCTGAGGTAATCAGGGGCCACAGCCCTTTAATACTGCTCTGGACCGGGCCCTTGTAATATGGGGGTTGGCTGAATACAAACACACAGCTAGCCCCTCACACACTGCCCTGTGATCCCTTTTCTTCTCCGTGGCATGCTGGGAGGAAGTGAGGTCAGATCACTTCCTCCTCAGTGCTGCTGGGGAGGAGGCACACACCACACGGAGGAGGATGCAAGCATTGTTGGGGAGAGGGACTGAGAAAGCTGATGGCAGACTCCCATCAGCCTGGGCCAACAAGCTCCCACTGGACCCCAGGGAAGCCACCTTTCTGTACCCAAAAGGTAAGGAGACAGGAGGCTGGCTAAACATGTTTTGTTTTTTTGTTTTGCTTATTTCTGATATCACTTTTATTCAAGTGTTGGTGTGTGTAATGTAACACACAGGGAATAAGTACATGTTAAAAATCCTAGAAGAACCGGACAGTTCCCTATTAAATATACATTTTAAAAGTATTTATTTTAAAATTGTATTGCATCAAGTGTTATCAAAGGCTGTATACCATTTCCAAATGTCACTTTGGCCAAATTCTGGACCAGGGTATGTAAGAACAGAGTTGAGACATTATTATGGCCAAGGTTGCTGGGAGTTGCTGTCCAAGAGCTGCTAGAAGGCAGAGATTAAAATATGTAAATGTACACATATATGAGTGTGTGTATCTGGCTGTGTTTATGTCCTTGTGTGTATCTGGCTGTGTTTGTCTGTGTGTCAGTGTTTCTGTGTGTATGTATACCTGTGTATGTGTACTTGTGTGTCAGTGTGTATGTGTACCTGTGTGTGTGTATGTATGTATGTGTCAGTGTGTGTAAGTGTGCATCTGAGTGTGTGGTAATGCATACATCCCAGCATTTTAATGCCAACACAAATACACTCCATCTCTAGCACTGTACACATATACACCCCTGCATTTATACCTTTATGTATGTGTGTATCTGAGTGTGTGTGTACATACCTGTGTCAGTGTGTGTGTGTACCTCTGTGTGTGGATGCGCCAGTGTGTGTGTATCAAAGTGCTTGTATCTATGTGTCAAAGGGTGTGTATCTGAGTGTGTGTGTGTATGTGCCAGTATGTGTCAAGGTGTGAGCATGTGTCAGTGTGCCTATGTGTGTATCTGCGTGTTAATGTGTATGTGTATATGTGTTATAGAAATCACACAACATGCAAACAGAGCCCTGCAAACACAAACATTACATACAAACACACCAGTTTGCTGAAACACCAATACTACACACAAATGTACACAACACTACATACAAACAACCCCCTGCATGCAAATACAAACATTACATACAAACACATTCCTGTATTAAAATGCTAAAATTATATACAAACACCAACTCTACACACAAAAGTACACCTGCATTTAAAAGCCAACACTACAGACAATCACACATTACTGCATTCAAACGCAAACACTACACACAAGTACACCACTGCATTCCAATGGTAACAGTACATACAAATACACCCCTACATGCACACATACACTCTATACAATAACATGCTGACATTCAATTGCACAAACACTGCTCAAAAATACAACCCTGCAAGGATGGTAGATCCCCACCTGGCATAGCATCGCAGGAGTTGTATGACAGATGGGGATCTATCTTTTCTTTACTCTTGTGCTACAGGGCAGGCCTGAATTATTTTTTTTTTGCACCAAGGCACTCTCTACATTAGTTTCACCTCTAGGTTGGGGTGGAGGGAGTGATTGCATGCCCAGGGTCCAATCAATAGTAAAGACTGCCCTGATTACAGTGACCGGCAGGAGGTGGACGCACAGCGCTTCCTCCTGTCACTTAGTGTAGCGTGGCCGAGTGGACCGCGGTACTGGAGGATCTGTTTCCTGTGCCGGCCAAAATGACAGGAACTGTTTACTGAGAGAGCACTGAGAGAGAGCAATTCCTGTCAGTCCAGCTGGGTACAGGAAACTGAAGCTCCTGTATCGTGGTCTGCTCCACTTGGCCAGCTACAAGAAAGGTAGGAACCACACCTGGGACCAAGGGTGTTTCCAGTTCCTTTGTGGGGGTAAAAACCCCACTATGTGATGGGGGAGAAAGAACATGGGAGACAGGGGATGGGGGGGGAGAACACTATGGGACAAGGGAGAGGAAGAACACTATGGGACAGGGGGGGAAGAGGAACACTAATGGACAAAAGGGGAGGGGAGGGGAGAGGACCATTAAGGGAGGGGTAGTGGAGAGGAACACTAAGTGACATGTATGGGATAGTGGCACACACAGTTAGTGGGGAAAAAGACACACGAGGGGGAGAAAGACACACAGATGGGCCTGGGGGTGAGAAAGATGCACACAGGGGCTGGGGATGAAAGCAACACACAAAAGGGGTGGAAATTAAAAAAGGGTGGGGGAGAAAGAGACACAGAGGGGCTGGAAAATAGGAAAATGAGACACAGAGGGGCTGGGGGAGAGAGATTGACAGGCTGTTGGTGAAAGAGAAAAACACAAAGGAGCTGGAAAGAGTAAAAGACACAAAGGGGCTGTGAGTAAAGAAATCACAAGCAACTTACACCCTAAACATAGAAATATAGATGTGATTGTGATGAAAATATAATGTTCCCTCTTTATAAATCACTGATAAGACCACACCTTGAACATGCGGTGCAATTTTGGGCACCTGTTCTAAATGAGGATATTATGGCACTAGAAAAGTGCAGATGCGGGCTACAAAATTGATAAAAGGAATGGAGCATTTTAGTTTTGAAGAGAGGTTAACAAGTTTAAATCTCTGTAGTTTAGAAAAACAGCGCCTCAGAGGGGATATGATAGTATTATACAAATATATTCGGGGCCAATGCAAACCATTGTCTGGTAATCTATTCATAAGTAGGACTATACATAGGACAAAAGCTCACAGATTAGACTGGAAGAAAGGAGATAATTCTAAGGCAAAGATAAGTTGTTTTTTTTTTTTTTTTTACAGAATGATATGGAATTCTCTGAGGTGGTTTTATCAGAGTCTATACAGATGTTTAAACTGTAGTTGGATAAATACTTGCAAAAATATAATATACAGGGATATAAATTTTAATTAGTGGGGTAATAGCTTCTTGATCAAAGGAGATATCTGGCTGCCATTCTGGGGCCAAGAAGGATTGGTTGCTTCAGACTAGGTTTTTGGTCTTCTTTTGGATCAACAGCAAAAATCAAAAGTGAGAAAGGCTGAACTTGATGGATGCATGTCTCTTTTCAACAATGTAACTATATAATATTGTAGGCAAAGACGCCTCTGTGCGAGTCCAGCACATAGTAGCTGGAAGCAAGATACACCATACACAGAGAGGCACAACCAAGCTGCTATGATTGCATACCGAACCATCTGCACTGAATATGGATTGGACCTGCCTAAGTCCAGATGGTAAGATACCACCAAGGGTAGTTGGAGAATGACAGGACTAAGATTCTGTGGGACTTTCAGATCCAGACAGGCAAGCAAGTGCTGGCCAACCAACCAGACATCGTAAGGGTTGACAGGGAACGGAAGACTGAAGTAGTGGTGGATGTGGCAATACTCAGTACATTAACATCAGGAAGAAGGAACATAAGAAGATGGACAAATACCAAGGACTAAAAGAAAAGCTAGAAAGGATGTGGAAAGTCAAGGCAGTAGTAGTACCAGTGGTGATAATAATGACTCTGGGATGTGACTCCTAAGTTGGGGGAGTGGCTTCAACAGATTCCAGTTGGGAATTGAGATCGCTGTTTAGAAGAGTGCAGTTCTAGGAAAAGCTAAGATACTGCGCAGAACCCTCAGACTCCCAGGCCTGTGGTAGAGGACCCGAGAATGATGAATAAAATATACCACCCAGGAGGGGTGAGAAAATCAAATATATATTTATTTTTTTTCAATACAATGTTAAACAAAGATCTGCACACCAGTCAAGCCACAAGACTTGCTTTTCCCACAGAAATTTGCTTATGGCTTGACTGGTGTGCAGATATTTGTTTACATTGTATTGAGTATCCACTGATTTTAGGTGGAAGGGGTTTTCAATCACAAATTTTCCCACAGAGTGTGAGAGTGTGTGACTTGTATGCTTATTCCTAAAAGTAAAGACTCCTGGGTCTGAAATCAGTTAGGCTTTGACTTGCCACTGTAGTGTAGTTCCTCATTCCCATGTTGTTCATACTAATAAAGCTGAAACGATTTGTGTATTCTGCTGGAGCATCGCGCTTTTGCTGCCACAATTAATTTTCCTACCCAGTCTGATATTTATATCTATTCTCTCACACAATCAGAAATACAGTCATATTGTGAATATCAGTGTGGCATTATAAGTGTCCACTGTAATTTTCCTCCCTACCATTGCTCTTTCAAATGCACACACCCTCCTCTAGAAATCCTGGCACTGGCATCCAAGACTGTTAGTTGGAATGTTCTCCATATATCAATGCAATGTTTTAATGTATTTGACATGGAATAATTTTGTCCACATTTCACACAAGTTCAAACTACAAACATTCAGGGAGGATGTGGAAGATGCATTAACATATTGCTTCTACTCAGAGAAGCCAATTTAATTAATTTCAGATACTAGTTTGCATTACTCAAAGTATAATGAGCAGTTGGCATCTGAATTATAGGACACAAATTTCCCCCCCAAAAAATCTCTTGCAAACTGATTAGTTATTTACCTAAATTGTGCACAAAATCAACCATGTATGCATATACTTACAACAGTTGATGGGAAAAGGCAACTTATGTGTATACAGTATGCATTAAATGAATGCATGCCCAATGGAATCTCATGGCATAAGACAGGTAAGGAACATAAAGTATTGCAGGATCTTTCATTGTGCCCCGTTCAATACTCTCACGGATACATGAGCATACAAAGATGAGGCAGCTCCTGATAATTCTCTGCCACAAGCTGAAGGGGGGAATGTGTCAGTAGTGAGAAGGGAGGGAGTCAGCTAAACATATCTGCCTGTTTATCTCCCAGAAAACATCATGCATGTAGTATTTGCACATGGGAGTCTTTTAAAAACAAATGCAGAGATCCACAAGTGACAGTGCTACCTTAAGGGAAAAAAAGAAAGCACAAAAGAAAAATGAGAAACAAACCAAGATTTTGTTACATGGAAACTGTAATTATCACTATTTTAAAGTTATGCAATCACATGTAATTTTCCTGTTTAATCCACAGAAGAGAAAAAAGTAGACTTTGTGGCACATAGCAGAGAAATGTATTTAATTTAAATACATATAGACATAAAATCATCGATTTACTCAATAAAATTAAAAGAAGATCTAGTAGGAAATCAGGGACACATTAAATGTATGATGGGGAAAAAATAATTCATTTGGCTCTGGGCAGACATGGTTAACATATATTGCACAATTAGAAGATTGTAACACTCAGCAATCACCAGCAGCTCAGGATTTTAATTATTTCCATGAATGGGTATTTACAGATCCAATGATTATCACAATTATGCTAAGAAAGGGATATTATTAAAACACAAATTTGTGTAGTTTTTTTGGTTATGGTTAGAAAACCCTTTTGTAAAACACCACTATATTTAGTAACCTGTAAAATGAATGAATACAATCTTGGAATACAGTTTAATAATTATTTGCTTTCTAATAAATATATCTAAGATGATTATTTTTTTGTTTTATCCTGCACTTTTTAATTTGTTACTCCCTGCTTCTGTGATATCACTGTCCTTTTATCAAAGAGGGTGAGCATACAGCTGTAACCTTGCAAGCTTACTGTTTGTTTTGAAGTAATCTAAGATAACTCTTCACACATTCACTTTGTCATCACAAGCAACTTCCAGTGGGCATCACTGTGAAGTCAACGAATGGGGCCTGAGGTGGATCAGGGGCCTATCGAAGAGAAAAAAAATAAATGTATATTTAATTGCATGATTTATGTAAGGCATTAAAAAAAGGGTAATAAAATTAACCTAGAGTATTCCATTTAATATAAGGATTGTGCATACAGTATGCGCATGTGCAACACATAAACCATAGTTAACAATGGACATGGATATCCAATTATAACTGCAATAGTTCAGAAAAATGTTTCACTTTGCCAATACATTTATTCCACATGTCCAAAGATGATAAACATGTTCCAAATTCGCTTCTGTTTACGTTGAGCAAAGATCCTGAAGATGATTCCACTGTTTCCTCTCTAACGCCTGTAAGAATTTCTTTGTCCTTTCTTCCCTACTTGCTCGGCACTGCTGCAATAACTTCTGGCAAAATGGTTTGTCATTATTTCCTAGGTCTTGCTCCATATGCCAAAGCTTTTCTTGTACCCAAGTTAGGTCACGTTCCATTTGAAGTTTTGACGACTCCTCCAACTGAGTTTCTTTGGCCTTCTGCAGGTAGAAAAAAAAATACATATCAGAAAGAAGTATTGGTAGAAAGTATCAAGAGAAAAACATTACAAATAAATATGTAGAAGGAGCAACAAGTTGGTGTCTGATAAGAATTGGCATAAGGGCATTTTTTTTGCTTGAAGAATCATCTAGGACTACTCTGACACCCAGGGGCGTACCTAGAGCATTTGGCACCCGGGGCGGATCCTCCTTATGGCACCGCCCCACAACCACCACCTTAAAATGTAAAAAAACACCCCCAATTTTGTGTGTTTATGCATCTAAATGTAAGCATGTGTTTTTGTATGGAAAATGTGTGAGTGAGTGAATGTAGGGGTGTGTAGTGTTTGCGTTTGAATGCAGGCATGCATTTGTGTGTAGTGCTGGCGAGATGCAGTGGTGTGGTTATTTCTAATGGTGATTTTTTAATAGAAAGGTGTGTGTTTGTAGTGTTGTTTGAATGCAGTAGTGTGCTTGTGTGTAGTGTTGGCAAAATGCTGTATGCACATATACACAAATATATACACACACAATCAGACAACACATTTGCATAGAATTCATACTAGGCACCCAGATTTCCTGTTCTGCACTGGCTGACACCTCTAAACTTCGATCTTTGTTTAGCAGATAACTCCTCTATTTGATATCCCTAAGTGAGATTGCCATATTTAGATCTAAAGAACAACCTAATTTGGCATATTTAAATATAGAAATCTCACATAAGAGCATTAATTTAGGGAATTATCTACTAAACCGCTAAAAGATCAAAATGTAAAAGCCTTTTACTTAATTTTAATCTTTCAGTTGTTTAGTAGATAACTCACTTATTTGTTATCCTTATGTGGGGTTGACATATTTAAGGACACCAAATAAGGGAGCTATCTACTAAACACATACACATTTATATACACACACAACCACAGATATATACACACAGACTTGTACATCTGTGGTTGTTTGTGTATATAAATACACACACAATCACAGACATACACTTAATCACAGACACACAATCAACACACACAATCACAGACACACACAAAAATCACATTCTTACACACATTTAGTAATTAAGAGGTCCGCCCAGCTTCCCTACCTTGCTCTTGGATCTTCCCCATGGTGATTAGTGGTTGCTGCTGGGCTGGGTGCTCTTCCTGCACAGCTCACTTGTGCTCCCAGTAGTGATGCCGATGCCAGGATGACATCTTATCCCAGCTGCCGGTTCACTGCAGGGCGCGCACTAACCTCACTGCCTCCCAGAATATATCTGTCCTTGTCCCTTGTGTAAAAAAATGTGTTTGTGACAGCGTATCTATGTGAATTGTGTGTGACTGCATATGTAATTTGTGAATGTGAGCCTGTGTGTAATGTGTCTATGTGACAGTAGGGGAACAGTTGTCTGTGTCTGGGTGGGTCGGAGTAGATTGGGGTCTGGGACTTAGTGTGATATTGCATGGGGGAATAAGGCAGGGAGGGTGGGGGTATAGCGCAGGGAGGGTGGAGGATATAGGGCAGGGGGTGGGGTTATAATGGCAGGGGGGTATAGGGCAAGGGGGTATAGTAGTACCTTACCATTTAGGAGGGTGCAGGATCAGCAGGTTCTGTCTCACCATTTGGCGGCTGCTCTGGGGTTATAATGGCAGTGAGGTGGGGGTATAGGGCAGGAGGGGTGGGAGTATAATGGCAGGGGGGTTATAATGGCAGTGAGGTGGGGTGGGGAAGAGGGGTGAAAGTATAATGGTGGGTATAGGGCAGGGGGTGTTATAATGGCAGGGAGGTGGGGGTATAGGGCAGGGGGATTATAATGGCAGGAGGTGGGGGTATAGGGCAGGGGGATTATAATGGCAGGGAGGTGGGGTATAGGGCAGGGGGTTATAATGGCAGGGGAGGTGGGGGTATAGGGCAGGGAGATTATAATGGCAGGGAGGTGGGGTATATTATAATGGCAGGGAGGTGGGGGTATAGGGCAGGGAGATTATAATGGCAGGGGGGGTTATAATGGCAGGGAGGTGGGGGTATAGGGCAGGGGAGATTATAATGGCAGGGAGGGTGGGGATATAATGGCGGGGGGTTGTATAATGGCAGTGGGGTTATAATGGCAGGGAGGTTGGGGTATAAGGGCAGGGGGTGTTATATTGGCAGGGAGGTGGGGGTATAAGGCAGGGGGGATTATAATGGCAGGAGGTGGGGGTATAAGGCGTCCCCCTTAGTACGTCACTGATGACACCAACTGCCTATCTAAAACCGGATTGTCACCAGACAATTTATGTCCTCTCTCTCCTCAGACCCCAACTCCACTAAATTCAATAAACATTACTATAGTGAGAGTGTGTGTGTGTGTGTATATATATTTATATATATATATATATATAAAAAAAAATTGTGATGGCTTGGCACTCTCTATTAAGTAAATTATGCAAAAACTTGCCTTGGTGCAACCCCAAATGCGCCCAAAATATAGCTGAAGTGATCCAGGACGTACTCATAGGTCTTAAATTAGCCAAATGTGATTTATTATATTCAGGTTACATACAGTTAATAGATCAATATCAATATATATATATAAAAAAAAATAAAAAATCTTGCGAATAGGCTGGCTACCATCATTCAATGTACAGTAATTTTAATTTATATAGTAGGATAGTCAAGGGATAGCCGAAGTCAAAGGATGCCAGAGGTCAGGATTAATGAAGTGTAGCCTCCGCATACGTGGAGTCCCAGAGATCATCGGGCAAGATCTCTATAAAGCACTATTGCCCTCCGTGGCAGACACAGACCTCCTGATGGACAGGGCTCATAGAGTACCCAAACCAAGGAATCTAGCAGCGGACATGCCCCGCGACGTAGTTTCGAAAATGCACTATTTTCATATAAAATTCTTCTACAAGAACATCGAAGGCCCAAGACCTGCCATTGGATTAAAAACAAATATTGCTATTTCCGGATCGGTCGGCAACTACGATGGCCAAGAGGCGCAAATCCATAAACGTCACCAAAGTTCTACACAACCACAAGATTGCCTACCGCTGGGTGTTCCCACCTAAGTTGGCTGTGTGGTGAAATGAACTGTGATGGAGGGTAGCAAGCAGCTACAGAGTTGGGGACTACTCAGAGGGGAGACGCCACCAATGAATGCACCTGCCCCTAGCCACATTCGTCCCGAATGGACAAGGACCATTTGACCGGAAGAAGGACTATGTTCTAGATACACACGAATATTGTTATTTGCTCGACATATGAGCAGCACGTTCAGAGTATCCTTTCATCTTAAGTTGGTGCATTTGCACACCTGATTGCATCCCCACTAAATGCTGTCCCCTAAGTGTTTATTAGCATCCCAAGTTCTTCTAGGCACCCCCATCTACCAAATAACAACTCCTCTCCTACAGGCCTTGGTGTCAGGGTTCTTACCTGAGATGGGAGTCTGTAGCGCAGATATGTTTGCTCACCCTTGCAGATAGACACAGTCCGAGGTGACCAGATAAGAAGCTACCTGGACTGTGAATCTGTGCATGAGGGCTGTGCAGGAAAGATGATTCCATTGCAGTACCGACAAAGACACACACAGAAGTATAGTCAAGGGTTAGCCAAAGTCAAGGGATGCCAGAGGTCAGGATTAATGAAGTGTAGCCGAAGTCAAGGTATGCCAGTGATCAGGATAAATGAAGACAGAAGCCGGTGTCAATATGGAGTAAAAGTTCAAAAAACTGGAACACAGGAACTTAACACACACACACAACAGGATCAAAGACTTGATAAAGTTCCTAGGGTGAGGCTGTGTTTATATATACCCTGCTGATGACTGATCAGAGTCAGGTAAAGCACAGCAATAGATGAAGTCCAGCCCCCAGTACTGCAGACAAGCCAGGATGAACAGGACTAGGAACTGCTGTGGCTCAAAGAGACACAGACACACACACCTAATTTGATGAAAAAAAGAAATAAAAAAAAAGTCGATTTACGTTCTGTTTGGTTGCTCATAGCAGCTCTGGCACAACTGGCATATATTGTCAGTAGGTGGTGGATGTAGGCTGGGGCACCGAGACACATTTGAGGTAACGGATTAACGATATGGTCCTAGTCGGACTGTGTAAAACTGGTTTCAATACCAACCAAACACGCCCCCGAATCACATTGGTTAAAACAGCGAGGACCGTTCGATCAGGCCTAGTTGTACATGTTTAACCAAAGTATGCTGCCACTTCAACAGCATTGTTGTATACACCTTTGTTATGTTTTTTGTTTTCTGCCAGGTGATGCCTCGTTGGTCTCTATTTCCAATATATTCCTATATGGATGACACATCCAGTGGTTCCATTATAGGTGTTCTAGTGCTTACTGGTTGGTACTATACAGCAAGTTTGGGTTTATATTTCTGTGCCACACATACTAGTACTGCCACTCACATAACACGATGGCTAACCATTTACTATACTTACACTAAACGCTAACGACTTGGACACGCCTTACAAACGAAGTCAGGCTTTCCACCAACTTCAGAAGTCCAGGCCCGCTATAGCATGCTTCCAGGAAACCCATTTCTGCTAAAAACCCTGCCTTTGCATCTAAACTATATCCCCAAGCATTCCATGCTCATGCCCCAGAGAAAACTAGAGGAGTGAGCATCCTCTTTCGTGCGGACTGGTATTTCCAATGTACCAAAGAATACTGTGACTCAGAAGGTTGAATATTAGTCCTAGTGGGACTACTTAGCAATGTCTCTATCACCATAGCGAACTCATACACACCCAATACTGACCAGGTGATTTTTTTTCATAAGGCACTTACTCACATTTATCAAGATCATGACGGGCCAAATATTTATATGTGGTGACCTGAATTGTGTGCTAGAACCCTCTTTAGATGTCATAATCTGCACTCCTCCGGTAGACGGAAAGCCAGAGATAGCGGCCATATGTGCACACTACTCCGAAAATACGACCTATATGACACATGGAGGACCCTATAACCCGCAACTAGGGATTATACCTATTTCTCTAGAGTGTGTCACGTATTCATCCACTTATAAAAATGTGGTTAATGGCATTTACTGTCCACACATGAAAAGTTGTGCCGAGCAGCAACCAAATCCACAGAAGGGTTTATGCTGAGCAGCAATTATGCAAATGGGTAGCTGGTAACTGCCTTTGGGGTCAAAGGCCGGTTACAGCCTATCAGATCTAGAGGAGGGGTATTTAGGCCCAGTTCTCATCCTGCTCAGTGCCCTGTCGTGGTTTCCCTTGTGGTTGTCCGAGAGTGCATTATTGATTCTGGTTATTCTGGTTATTTGACTTTGGCATTGTTTTTGACTTCCCTGTTTTCTGGCATCCCTGACTCCTGGGTTTTCCTTATCATTGTGTCTCTTTCTGTTTCCCTTGACCTCGGCTATTTCTGACTATTCTTTGGTATGTTAGTCCGGCCATTCTAAGGTCCGGTATACGTTACCTATCAGTCCTCTGTGTTACACAATTCTACGTGCTGGATCATTCTGTAATCCTGACAGTGTGCACGCCACTTACACCAGGATTGATTTCTGCTTGATTGACAAAACAAACATCCCTAAGAGAGGTACATACAGACCCTATTACATGGTCTGACCACGCCCCAGTCAGAACGACGTTTGCCACCCAATACCCTGTCCGGGGATGTGGGGAATGGTGGATGAATGAGACACTCCTCCTTAAGTGGGATATTAGAGACACCATTGAGAAATTCCTGGTTATGTACTTCACACACAACCACACTACCTCCACATCAGTAGCAAACATAGGGTTGGCACATAAGGCTGTAATGTGCAGACTTATGATCCAATCGGGGGCAAGATTTAAAAAAACAATATACCTGTAACGGACCGTTTTGCACACAAGGGGTAAAAACCGTTTAGGCGATCGTCCCCCTTTCCAGAGATGCAGGCACAGCTACTGTAGAACACCAAACTCACGAACCGCCAATAAGGGAATGCTCCAAACTCCCGAACGGCATACAACATAGCACTCCAAACACACGAACTGGAACCATACGAATCACTGCTAGCAGACGAATAGGAAAAGCATCCAAGCGGCTTATACTTCTAGCAATCAGTCTCTATCAGCGTCCAGTAAATTGTGGTCCGAGTGCCATAATGGCGATTTGCCTTTGTCTTGGGAGATAATTGAATTACTTCTCAATTATCTCCAAGGCAGAAGGGAGGAAGCCAGGATGCATTGTGGGAATATAATGTGACTGTGTGTCCTATTTGTCTACTTGTCTGTCTTTTGTCACAGTCTCCCATTTGGTCCCCTAGGGGAGTGTCCACCAGGTGGGAAACCTGCATAAATACTGGGCAGGTAGCCCTCATTAAACAGACCACTGCTTGACCCCCAACACGGAGCCTTGTCTCGTCTTTGGGGGGATTTACTGGACGCTGATAGAGACTGATTGCTAGAAGTATAAACCGCTTGGATGCGTTTCCTATTCGTCTGCTAGCAGTGATTCGTATTGTTCCAGTTAGTGTGTTTGGAGTGCTATATTGTATGCCGTTCGGGAGTTTGGAGCATTCCCTTATTGGCGTTTCGTGAGTTTGGTGTTCTACAGTAGCTGTGCCTGCATCTCTGGAAAGGGGGACGATCGCCTAAACTGTTTTTACCCCTTGTGTGCAAAACAGTCCGTTAGAATTGGGAGCCCAGTCTCCATTCCCCAGCGGCAGAGTGTCCTACCGGGAATAGAGAGCCCAGTCTCCTTTCCCCAGCAGCAGGACTCTGTATTGGGAGCAGAGACAGTCGGTCTCCCTTTCCCGCGGCTGGAAGTATGTATGGGAGAGGAGCTTGTTACCCCCTCTCCCCAGCGGCAGCTAAATGTACAAAGGGGAGACAGTAAGCCCCACAACTGTGTGTGAAAGGGGGACGATCGCCTAAACGGTTTTTATCCCTTGTGTGCAAAACGGTCCATTAGAATTGGTGGCAAGCGGCGGGATCGTTCCTACAGTAAAAAGGACAGCTACAGGCGACACCATTCCGTGGAATTTACAATTTGAGGGCAACGCATGTCTGAGTACAGCGACCCTGACAGCACCAGAATGGAACCAGCAGTGGAGTATGATGAGGGTGTCATGCAGTTCGGAAAGGCATCTGGTACCAGGCACTGGGCATTGTGGAGTACCAGCGGGGCGAGAGACTCCCCAAGGAAGACCAGCGACTGCAGAAGCGAGTAGCCCTGCGGATGCCCTTTCTGGGAGAGCAGCCCCTGGATGAATGGGTGAAGGAATTGGAGCTCCGGGTGTGGCAGGAAGATGCCTACCAGGCGCTCTGGTGGTATGGGGCGCAGTACCAGCCCTGGACAGCCAAGCATGACAAGCCAGAGGGAGAGGAGTTTGATGGTCCTGGCTTGTTATGGGAATCGTTTGCAGAGCCTGAGTTTGGGAGCCCTACACGAGCCCGGTTCAGTGATGTCTTGGAGTGGAGGGAGAGCAGGTATGACTGGGACGACACTCATGAAATTGAGCAAGACCTGGTCCACCTGGTGACCCGAGAGATGGAGCTGGAGCAGGGCTACCAAGATCTGTTTCACTCCAGTGAGAAGGCTCAGCAGGGCTGTGTATCTAAAGGGGAGACAGTCGGTCTCCAGCAGCAGGGCTGTGTATCTAAAGGGGAGACAGTCGGTCTCCCCTCCAACAACCAGGCTTCAACCAGGCTACCTTCCCAGTAGCGCTGGCACCAGGGCAGAGTACCGCTGGTGTCTGCCCACTCAGCAACCCACCAAGTCACCGTTCCCATACACAGCACAGCCGTGGTGAGGCACCTGGACTTATCCTCTACCCAGGTGTAGTGGGCTGTGCTGTTGATTGTGTTTTGTGGGTGGGCTGCTGGACTAACCCTGTTAGTCTGTTTGGAAAAGGGGAGAGATGTGACAAGAGCAATCTCGCCACATTGCATTGGAGAAGCCTGGTTGCTCGCCTGCTGCCTTTGGACTATGGCCCCATGTTAAAATACATCTTTTTCCCTGCAGAAAATACTTATTCGTGCTTTTCTGCCTGGTGTTCGGTAGATTCAATCTACCGAACAACCGCACGAATGACTAGACCAACTGGGAGCTGGAGTGTGCCGGCAATTAGCCTCCCTGAAGCTGCGGTTAACCGCAGCTTAATTGACGAATGCTGGGTGGCCGCCATTCGTATCACGAACACGAGGTCGCGGCCATTTTAAACCCACGAATGCACAGCGGTGTTCGACGCTCAATTCATGGAACTAAAATCGGACACAGTTTTGCGCGAACACCGCTCAAGCTGCCGACCTCCCTTCTTGTTTGGTGAAAGTGCACGAGGGGCCCGGTGTTCGGTAGTTTTACTTGAATATGTTATACCCCAGATAGGAATCCCATGGAGCCAATTCACATGAGAACTGACTGTGTAAAGACTTTGGCCCCATGGCGATTAAACTGTATTCGTGTGGTCCGAGTGTCCCCAGATAGCTCAGGTCTGAGCGCACATTATTAAGCGAATGGCGCTCAGACCACACGAATACAGTTTAATCGCCATGGAGCCAAAGTCTTTACACAGTCAGTTCTCATGCAAATGGGCTCCATGGGATTCTTGTCTGGGGTATAACATATTCAAGTAATTCAAGTAAAACTACCGAACACCGGGCCGTTTGTGCACTTTCACCGAACAAGAAGGGAGGTCGGCGGCTTCAGCTGTGTTCGCGCAAAACTGTGTCCGATTTTAGTTCCATGAATTGAGCGTAAAACACCGCTGTGCGTTCGCGGGTTTAAAATGGTGTTCGTGATACAAATGGCGGCCACCCAGCATTCGTCAATTAAGCTGCAGTTAACCGCAGCTTCAGGGAGGCTAAGTGCAGCACACTCCAGCTCCCAGGTGGTCTAGTCATTCGTGCGAATAAGTCTTTTCTGCAGGGAAAAAGATGTCTTTTAACATGGGGCCATAGTCCAAAGGCAGCAGGCGAGCAACCAGGCTTTTCCATTGCAATGTGGCGAGATTGCTCTCGTCACAATACCCAAGAACACCAAAAGCTGACAGAGCTAGAGGCCTGACACAAACAATGCCCAACGAAATCAGTAGCAGACCAACTCAGGGACACCCGCTCGCAATTAGAGAAACATCAACACCAAATAATAGGCAATTACTCAAACTGAAACACACATATTACTCACAAGGCAACAGAGCTGGGCAACTCCTAGCTGCCCAACTGAAAAAGAGGTAGAATCAATCCAAAATCTCCTTCATAAGAGCAGATGGCTCCAAAATTCTAAATTCTAAAACTCATTTTCTAGATGCATTTGCAACCTTCTATGAAACACTATAACTTGCAATCAGACACCTCAACAGTACAACCGACCCAAGAAATCGTAGCCAAATTTCTATCCTCTATAAAACTGCCATGCTTGCCCCAGGATGAAGCGGTAGCCCTGGACAGCCGGTTTACTGAGGAGGTGTCTCAGGCAGTCCAACTATTACAGAAGCATTAGGCGGCTGGTCCAGACAGATTCCTTAAATCATACTATATATTGTATGCCGAAATTCTAGTACCCCATTTAAAGGAACACTATAGTCACCAGAACAACTACAGCTTATTGAATTTGTTCTGGTGAGTAGAATCATTACCTTCATGCTTTTTGCTGTAAACACTGTCTTTTCAGAGAAAATGCAGTCTTTACATTACAGCCTAGTGATAACTTTACTGGCCACACCTCAGATAGCTGTTAGAGATCCTTCCTGGGTCATGGCTGCCTAAAATGCATCCAAACATCCAGTGTCTCCACCCTCTGCATGCAGACACTGAATTTTCCTCATAGAGATGCATTGATTCAATTCATCTCTATGAGGTGATGCTGATTGGCCCGGGCTGTGTTTGAATTGTACGGCCTCTGCCCCTGATCTGTCTCTTTGTCAGTCTCAGCCAATCCTATGGGGAATTGTGATTGGATCAGGCTACCACTTCTGCTGATGTTAGCAGGCAGTGGGCAGGTCAAAAGTAAACAGGGACAAAGCCTGCAGCTTCAGGCTTGAATGCAAGTAAGATTTTACTATATTTAGGGAGGCATGAGGGAGACAGGGGGGCTAGATGGTGTTTTTAACACTATAGGGTCAGGAATACATGTTAGTGTTCCTGACCCTATAGTGCTCCTTTAAGAAAACTTTTTAAAGATATAATGCAGTCAGGTATCCCCAGGAGATGCTTCAAGCCAACATTATAACAATTGCCAAACCAGGAAAACCCCTGTCCAAATGCGAAAATTACCGCCCTATCTCCTTATAGTATGCAGACATATGCAAGATATTTGCCAAAATTCTAGCAGACAGACTAAAACCCCTTCTGACATCATTGGTCTCGGTGAAGCAGGCTGGGTTTGTACCTGGTTGGCAAGCAGGAGTCAATACTAGACGGTTCCTCGAACATTTGGAACTCATGCGATTGAGGGGGACATCGGGCTTCTGCTCGCGCTCGACGCGGAGAAGGCCTTTGATCGCCATCACTGGGGCTATAGAACGTCAGTTCCGCATAAATTTGGCTTCCCTTACAAATTTCTCCACACTGTTCTTACACTTTATTAGGTACCCTCTGCAAAAGTAACGAACACAGGTTTCACATCTAGAAGTTTCTCCCTCTCCAATGGCACACTTCAAAGCTGCCCCCTATCTCCCTTGATTTCTATCTTAGCCCTAGGTTAAAAAACATACAAACAAATAACGAAATCACGGGTATCATTACTCCACAGGGGGAACAAAAAAGTTTAGTGATGCCGGAATATGATGACATATTCCTGCGCCCGTCATCACTACAGACGGCGCGCGCGAGGGAGCAGTGAGGAGCACTCTCCTCCGGCCGGGTAAATGTTAGCAGAGTAGGCACTTGCAATGTGGGGAAAGCAGGTGCCTACTGTGCTTGGAACACTAAGCATGTACTCGCGGCGTGCCGGGCCTCAAAGATGTCCACTGTGGGCCGCATGCTTGAAATGCTTGAGCTACACAATTCTGTTGGGCTAGAGCAGTAGAGGCAAAAGCCATGCTGTATGTATGATTCTTAAGGCAGATGGAAGAAGATCTGAGGAGGTATGTCGTCTGCATAAGTTCTCTCGCTTTTTTGTTTAGAGAATTCAAACCCTTGCCATTCAGTGATAACAGTTTTAGGGCCATATCTCTAAAGTAGGTATAGAGAAGATGATCAAATATAGTGGTGTATCTTACGACAGCACAAAAAGTCGCCTCCAGTGCTCCTTACCCAGCAGCAGAAGAGAAAGAAAGAGCATAAGAGAAGAAAAAGGAAACAAAGAAGTATAAAAAAAGAATACACAGGAAAATAGAGGAACAAATTAACAATGCATTAAATACAACAGATGTTGAAGGAGGTTGGACTTGCCAAATCACCAGACACTCGGGAGATGGATCCCCTTTTCAAATAGATTAAACAAATCCATAAGTAGAGGACGGATAGGGTTACAATCAACCTTCAGCAATCACAGAATAACACATTCAGAGCTAGGATTAACAGGGCCACATAATGCTTTCTCCCAAGTGTGGGGGGCACAAATACTGATAGAAGCTACCACAAAACAAGTGGAAGGGATTAGCTACTCAGCCCCATTGTCCCCTCTAGGGGTTGTTGTGGGCAGATACCCCCAAAGGCACAAGAGCGTCTCAAAATTGAACAAAAAGCTAAGCATTAAAACCAAACTTAACTGGTCATGCAGTTGAGTATGTGAGCAGAACTGCTCCATCTGCCGCCATGCAGTCAACCATTAGGAGGGAAATATCGGCCATCGCTAGCCCCATGCAAAAAAATAAATAAAAAATTATACATCAGTAAATGAGGTAATACTATCAAGTGACCCGTTCACCAGATTCATACCACACTCTTGGGAACAAAGGCTGTGGTGGAACTTCATAATGTGGAAGAGGTAATGTTCTCAGGAACCTCGACACCCAAGCTTCTCATGAATAGCCGTTGAACAGCAGAGTTTTGGCCTCTCACCTCAAAAGCCAAATATGCAGTTCTTTGCCTTGATAAGTAACCAGACTTTTCCTGCTCCATCGAAATATTGTGTCTTTTCTTTGGAAATGGCAACAACGAATGAGAAGATAGCTAAGGGTTCCAGGCATGTCCAGTAACAAAATCCAGAAAATAGCCATTACAGTGTCCATTAGAGGACCCTCCTCAGGATGTTCAGTCAGATCCCTCACCAAAATGATGGTTGAGAGAATTACAGTGGTCAATCAACCCGGTTGTGAGCTACCACCACCTGCTCAATCTCTGTAGAGCATGTGCCAAGGCCCTTAATCTCAGGCTTCTCTTGTGTTTCACTCCAACTCCCTTGCAAGAACGGTTTTCAGCTTGGTGAGCTTGCTCAATACCTGACTAGTGTCAGCTTGGGTATGTAATAAAGGCACCAAGTCCTCTGGAGTGTGTAAAGAGGAGGGTGTCAGCTGGCTGTTATGGCTGCCATCTTGTGTAGCCTGCTGCTATGCATGTGAGACTGCAATCGTGCCAGAGTGACTCAGGACAGACACTGTCTTGGCAGATTTGCAGGGTATCCGCATCACAATGTCAACAAATAAGTAGGGAGTAATACAAAGAATATGATCTTGGCTTACTGACAGGCAATGGCCCACACCCTCTTTCTAATCAAATGACCGAAGATCTACATTTTCTGCATTTTGCAGTTCTTTCAAAGACACATGCACATGTCTAGTGATGTACATATTTACACAAGGGGATTTTGTAAGAGACACACATGCGGGGTATTGTAAGAGACACACTGTCAGGATTACTGTAGATGCCCAACACGCAGAACCTAAGTAGATATAAAGTAAATACCTAAGACATATTACCGGGCCATAGAATGGCCGGATTTAACGATAAAGATATCAAAATAGTCAGGAGCCAAGCCAAAAGTCAAGGAATACAGAGATCGGATAGTCAATAAGGGAAGCCAAGGTCATATACACAAGAAATCAATATAAGGAACGCGCTCTCAGATAACCAACTGGAACCCACGACAGGGCACTGAGAAATGGACAAACTAGGTTTAAATAGCTAAAGGCGTTTCCTGATGGGCTGTAGGGACACATGTGATCAAGCTTATGTGTGTAACACACCCATATTTAATTAATTGATCTGGCCCTTTAAGGGTTAAACAGGAAACCCTTTATTATTCACATCTGCATCGTGCGGCGTCCTTATTGATACAGACCCGGCTGCTGAGAGAGGAGAAGTCACCTCTGGTGAGTGTTTGGCAGTATTCCCCTTAGTTTGTGGGAATACCGCCGTAGCAATACACGCCTGCCAGGACTCATGCTGCCCTCTGACAGGAGCAGCGCCGGCGGGCGGCGTGACACATACATGGTGGGCTTGTAAGAGACACACAAAGAGGTGAGGTTAAGATGTGTGTTTTGTTGCTGAAGGGTGCATCTTCACCAGTGACTCCTGCTCTTCCTGTAACTCAGGTCTTCAGCACGGGAGTCTATGCCTCAGAGTTCATTGACAGGTGAGACAAAGACCTCTTATTAAATAATTTTTTTTTCCAATATATACATTTTATATTTTGCTGGCATTCCTGCCAACACGATGTGCAGATAGAAGGCAAGTTGTAAAAGATGTGATACGGACACTTTCATATCATCAACAGAGCTGTGGTGGAGAAAAAAGTGTGGATGAAAACCCCTTCCACATGACTATCCACTTACTTCAGGTGGAAGGGGTTTTCATCCACACTTTTTTCTCCACCACAACTCTTTTGGTATGTACTTTAAAAGTAATGCCAAGCCTCCATTGAAAGCCAGTAACCAACCTCATGCTGATGTGTTGCATTAACAACGAAACAGCTGTCCATGAGTGGTTCACTCTGCTTTGCTCCTCTTCATGAGTTGTGTTTCAAAGCTGTTGGATACAGCAGACACATACTCCAAGGAATCCATGTATAAAGTGGAATAATGAGGCAAAAATTTGGTTCTTGGCTGAGCTCATTTGCATACGCCTACTCAGAATCCCTTGCAGTAGAGAGAGCACTGTTAAAGTGAGATTTCTGTGGGAAAAGTCTTATGGTATGACTGGTGTGTGTATTTGTGTTTAGCAATGTATTAATTAGGTTGCCACTGGAGTCCTCTTCCACTCCTCTGTGACGACATCACAAAGCTGGTGGATGTTAGAGACCTTGCGCTCCCTCACCTTCCGTTTGAGGATGCCCCACAGATGCTCAAGGAGCTAAGTGGGGAAATAAGTGAACATCTGTATTTAATTTTTCAAGATTCTTTTATTTCAGGTATTGTACCGGAGGATTGGAGGAAGGCAGATTTTGTTCCTATATTTTAAATGGGTTCAAAATCCTTGCCTGGAAATTATAGACCTGTGAGCTGCACTTCTGTGACTGGAAAAATATTTGAAGGGCTATTAAGGGATAATATTCAGGAATTAATTGGGAAGAACTTTATTAGCAAAAATCAGCATGGTTTTATGAAACATAGGTCATGTCAAACTAACCTAATTGCATTCTATGAAGAAGTAGAAGTATAGATCAGGGTGTTGCAGTGGATGTGATCTACTTGGATTTTGCCAAGGCATTTGATACAGTTCCTCACAATAGGTTAGTGTTCAAACTCAAAGAACTTGGTCTAGATGATTATTCTTGTTCTTGGGTAGAACATTGGCTTAAGGATAGAGTACAACAAGTTGTCATTAAAGGTAAATTTTCAGGCTGGACAAAAGTGATAAGTGGTGTCCCTCGGGGTTCTGTTTTGGGACTGCTTCTATTTAACATATTTATAAATGATCTTGAAATAGGCATTGAAAGCCATGTATCAGTGTTTGCAGATGACACAAAACTTTGTAAAGTAATAAAATGTGAGCAGGATTTTGCTTTGCTGAAAAGGGATTTGGATAGATTGGGGGATGAGGCACTAAAATGGCAGATGAAATCTAACGTAGAGAAATGCAAAGTTATGCATTTCGGGGTCAAAAATACACAAGCAACTTACACCCTAAATGGTAGTGAATTAGGGATAACCACACACGAGAAGGATTTTGGAATTTTTAGAGACAAATTAGGCAGCAATATGCAATGTCAATCTGCAGTTGTTAAGGCCAGTAAGGTTTTGTCATGTATAAATAGGGGCATAAATTCTCGGGATAAAAATATAATCTTGCCTCTTTATAAATCGCTGGTAAAATCACACCTTGAATATTCTGTGCAGTTTTGGGCACCTGTTCTAAGGAGGGATATCATGGCACTAGAAAAAGTGCAGAGACGAGTATCAGGATTACAAGTTGATCCAGCACGTAGAACTGTATCACACCTAGGACTAAAAGGTAACGTCGTACCGGGCCTTAGAATGGCCGGACTTAATGTACTAAAGAATAGTCAGGATACTTGCCGAGGTCAGGGACACAGAATGGGACACAACAATAAGGGAAACCCAGAAGTCTTGGAAACCAGAATACAGGGAAGTCAAAACGAAGCCAAACTCAATAACCAATATAATTTTGCCTCTTTATAAATTGCTGGTAAGACCACACCTTGAATATGCTGTGCAATTTTGGGCACCAGTTCTAAAGAAAGATATCATGGCACTAGAAAAAGTGCAGAGACGAGCTACAAAATTGATAAAAGGAATGGAGCATTTTAGTTACAAAGAAAGGTTAAAACATTTTAAATCTCTTTAGTTTGGAAAAACGTCGCCTCAGAGGGGATATGATAACATTATACAAATATATTCAGGGCCAGTACAAACCATTATCTGGAAATCTAGTCATAAACAGGGCTATACATAGGACACAAGAAAAGGAGATTTCATCTAAGGGAAAAGAAAAGTTTTTTTTACAGTAAGAGCAATAAGGATATGGAATTATCTGCCTGAAGAGGTGGTTTTATCAGAGTCCATACAGATGTTTAAACTGCAATTGGATCAATTTCAAAGGTAAAAAGGCGTTACTGCAAACCAAAAGATGTTGAATCCTGACTCAGAAAGGATTCCAGAGATACAGATTCAATCCTCAGAGCGGTACACCAGAAGGAACATAACCTCTGTGGCCTCCAGGGGCTCCCAACAACAAAGAGATGGGATGAGAAACATGTGCCTGGGGCTTCCTGGAGAGGGAGGCTGACCTCTTCAGGGAGAATATTGTTAACAAACAGACGGGTGAGCATAATATTATTATTATTTTTTTACATAAAATTATGTCTGGCCTTATGGCTAAGAGCACAGGGGAAAAAAAAGACAGAGGTGTGAAGGTCAAGAGGATCCTTTTATAACCTAATCTTAAAGGGACACTATAGTCACCAGAAAACTACAGCTTACTGAATTTGTTCTGGTGTGTAGAATCATTACCTTCAGGCCTTTTGCTGTAAACACGGTCTTTTCAGAGAAAAGATGGCAGTTAGAGATCCTTCCTGGGTCATGGCTGCTTAAAATGCATCCAAATATTCAGTGTCTTCTCCCTCTGCATGCAGACACTGAACTTTCCTCATAGAGATTCATTGATTCAATCCATCTCTATGAGGAGATGCTGATTGGCCAGGGCTGTGTTTGAATCATGCTGGCTCTGCCCCTGATCTGCCTCTTTGTCAGTCTCAGCCAATCCTATGGGGAAGCATTGTGATTGGATCAGGCTACCACTTCTGATGATGTCAGCAGACTGCTTGTTTTTTTTTAGGCAAACAGCATGCAGATCTACAGCTTGAATACAGTAAGATTTTGCTATATTTATGAAGGCATGAGGGGCCCAGGGGGGCTAGATGGTGGTTTTAACACTATAGGGTCAGGAATACATGTTTGTGTTCCTGACCCTATAGTGATCCTTTAATTATTTGTTTGTTTTTTCTGTCCTATTGGCTAGAGGGAGGAGCTAAACTATTAGTTAAATGTTCCCATGATTAGGCAAGAAAAGATATTTAACCTTGACATTTTTCTCCGTCTTTCTTCTTTGTAAATTTGGAAGTTAATAATCATTGAATTAAAAAAAATAAAGAGCATCATGTAAAGAAAAAAAAAATTTATAATAAGTTGCATGCACTTTTCAATTTGTATTAAATAGTGATGGTTCAAGAGAAGTGATTGCTTCTCATTAAGACTTGCACTATACCCAACTATGCTCCGACACAAACTTGCATTATTGCAAAAGTGGCAATGCATAGATTGCTATGCCTTCTCTCAGCTTTAAGAAAGGCTTACAATTGAAGAGATTTATATAAATCATTGGAGCTCTAAGACAGCCTGTCAAGCAGCCTGGAATATGCCAGGTTGTCGATTGATTATTTTGTCCCAAGTTTTGGAAGGGACACCGGTTGCAGATCTTAGCTCTGCAGAGAACTGCCCTTAGCACAATTCACAAAACAATGAACCAAGGAATGTGCAAACTGATAGTAGTTAAGGGGTATAAAAACTAGAAGTCTTCTAGCTCAAGTGAAACTGCTCTTTGGAATTACCTACTTATCCTATAATCCTGTGCTGGAGTTTAAGGGACCCCATATAAGATGCTACTAACTGGAGGTTTCTTATATATATATATACACACACACATATACATATATATACATATACACATATATATATACACATATACACACACATGCCATTACAAGACGCCATCACTGCTCCTTCAAACCTCTATCCAACCCCCCGTCCCTCTATTTCTCATAATTTTTAATCCATTCGACTTGCCTTTTTAAACCCTTCTCTGCTAACATTGCAGTTATATATCTCCCCTCTGGTTCTCCTCTCCTCTTCCTTGACCACTTTGCTGCCTGGCTACCCTACTTCCTCTCCTCTAACATACCATCCCTAATTATCGTGGACTTCAATATTCCCATTAACCAACCCCTGACCTCAGCAGCCTCTAAACTACTTTCAATTACTTCCTCCCTTGAGCTATCACAGTGGGCTAATTCTCTCACCCTTGTAGCTGGCAATACCTTCGACCTCATTTTCACTTATGCATTTACAGTGTCTAATATCTCCAACACTCCATTCCCCCTCCCTGACCACCACCTCTTATCATTTGCTCTTGAATATCCCCTCACCCAACCACCTCAGCCTAAATCCCCTCAACTCAGGAGGAACCTTAATTCTACTGGCCTCCAGCATCTGTCAGCTGATATTGATTCACAACTCCTATCCATCCCTTTCCTCTCCTGTCCCTCACTGGCCATCTCCACATATAACACTACCCACCCTCTCATTAGTTCATGCTCCCACAATCCTTGGCTTCTCTTTGACACCTTCAACTCTCTTCTTCGCCCTGCTGTGGCTACCGCTCAAACTAACCTTACAGCCGATAGATTTGCATGTTACTTTACCGACAAGATTGAACAGCTAAGGAAAGAATTCTCCCCACCCTGGCTTTCTCTTTCTCGACCACACGTAGATCATGCCTTTCCTACCCTTCAGATTTTTTTCCCCGGCTACTGAACAAGAGGTGGCTGCGCTCCTCCTTTCCTCTCACCCCACCACTTGCCCGCTTGATCCTGTCCCATCTCACCTTATCAGATTTCTCTACCCTTGTCTTGTGCCTTCTTTAACACACATGTTCAACTGCTCCCTCTGTTCTGGCATTGTCCCTGAGGACCTTACAAAAAATGCCACTGTAGTACCTATCCTGAAAAAACCCCCATCTCTTAAGCCATCCTCCCCCTCTATCGTCCCATATCCCTGCTCCCTTTTTCCTCAAAGCTTCGAGAAAGACTTGTCTTTATCCGTATGACTCACTTCCTCAATTCCAACTCTCCTTGACCCTCTTCAATCTTCCGCCCCGTCCACTCTAAGGAGACTGATCTTATCAAATTTACTAACGACCTAAAGGCAGCAAAATCCAAAGGCCACTACTCCATACCAATTCTTCTTGACCTCTCTGCTGCCTTTGCCACCGTTGATCATGCTCTCCTTCTTCAAACTCTTCAATCACTCGGTCTTCTGTGACTCTGTTCTCTAGTGTCTTTCCTCTTATCTCTCCTAATGCTCATTCAGTGTCTCCTTTTCTAATGACACCTACTCCCTTCGTCCTGTCTCGGTTGGAGTCCCCCAAGGTTCTCTTCTATTCTCTCTCTATACTGCCTCTCTTGGCAAACTTATTACCTCATTTGGATTCCACTACCACCTGTACGCTGATAACAGCCAGCTCCCCGGACCTCTCCCTTGCCGTCCTGCAACGTGTCACTGCTCGACTTTCCTTCATCTCTGACTGGATATCCTCCCGCTTTCTTAAACTAGCTCTCTCTAAAACTGAGCTCATTGTCTTTCCGCCTCCTAATATTGATCCTCCTCTTTCACTCTCCCTTCAAGTTACTGGTTTCAGTCCATCATTGCAAGCGCTGTCTTGGTGTCATATTTGATTCTGGCCTCACCTTTGAGCCTCACATCCAGCATGTTACCAAGTCCTGTAGATTCCATCTTAAAAACATAGCCCATATCCGACCCTTTCTTATGCAAGATGCTACTAAGGAGCTTGTCCATACTCTAGTAACTTCCGCATGGATTATTGTAACCCTCTCCTAATTGGTCTACTCAAAAACCGTATTGCCCTGCTACAGTCTGTAATGAATGCTGCCTCCAGACTGATTCTCGGTCTCTCTGCCCGTGATCTTCTCCTGTCCACTGCTCACAGGACTTCTCACGGGCGGCTCCCTTCCTATGGAATAGCCTGACTACCGCCATCAGACTCTCCCCTAGTCTTCATTAGTTTAAGAAGTGCCTTAAAACCCATCTCTTTAGGAAAGCTTATGGCCTCCCAGAGTAACCTCTACCTCACATACCTGTCTCTTGCTCTCTCCTAGAGGGAAGCACTCTGCTCTCTCCCATCTTATTTGATTGCTATTTCCTGTCCTATTGTGTTTTACACCCCACCACCTATAGACTGTAAGCTCGTTTGAGCAGGGTCCTCGTCAACCTATCGTTCCTGTAAGTTTTCTTGTAATTGTCCTATTTATAGTTAAATCCCTCTACTTAATATATTTTAAAGCGCTATGGACTCTGTTGGCGGTACATAAATGGCAATGATAATAAAATACACACACACAAACAAATTATCTATATAAATCTTTCAATAATGGGTGTAATTTTTACCCCTCCCTTAGTTTCCTTTTAACTTCACAGCTGTTCACCTTTTTCTTTTGGTCAGTCCTCATTACTTGACATAGGATAAACCATAACTAGCTGAAATTGTCAAGGTACCAATACTGTTACTTTGTCACGAACAGTGATAAACATGTGAGGCTTGATTACATTTCATTTTATGGTAATGTATAGTGTGTGATACAAAACAAAAACTTAAATAACATGAGAAGTTTAATGTAAAGAATGGATAACAAAACAGTTGTGATGATAGTGAATACGTAGAGATTAGTTTAAACAACAATCCACCCACCTGGATGGCACTGTGATTGTACTGATATCTCAGAACAGCTTCACACAAGTTCCAAAATGTATATTCTGGCCACAGGACAGACTGGAAGACTAGACAAGTGTGGGAAGTCTATAGTAAGAGGCAGAAAAAAAGTTACACATCTTAAATAACTGCTTACTAAAAAGTGAGGTGCATTGACATGCAAACAATAAAGACTTGCCTGCCATAGAAGGAAGTCGCTGAGACGGACCTCTCCTGAGGTTCGGATGAGAAGGTCGGGGTCTGTAGATTTTGAGGTATAGAGACACTGGTCTATAAGAGACTCAGACACATCACTGGAGAGAGTGGGAACCAGGAGAGAGGAGATAAGATGTGTAAATCACAGGGCAGAAAATATATAAAGAAGAAGTGACTTGGGTGAAAAATAAAATTCTTTAAAGAATATAAAGTACATACCTAGGTTCCAGTAGTCCTTCTTGCACTCCCCAAGCAGCCTCTCTCACTGCATTAGCAATCTCATTACGAGATGTGTAGGCAAAGCAAACATTCAGGAAACATCTATTAAAAACAGCAGCATATTAAAGAACAAATAAGTGTATCCATCAATGAATAACTGTGAAAGATGGTAGGTGTAGCGGGGTACACTGCTTTATCTGAGCAGGCCGCAAGCGCCGACCGTTACGACCAGTCGCACAGCGCACTGCCTGTACTTCAGAGCATTCAACAATTGCTCCCAGAAGGAGTAGGTGTGATAAAGGCGCTTCAATTCAGACTCTGAAACCAGCAGCTCTAAAAACACACATGATGGAATACCTTCTGACCTTCACCTTCAATGAATATAAGACAAAAAGGTGTTTATAAGTGTGTCCCTTAAAAACTACATGGTGGCGAGCTTGGTAATTGCAAGCACGTTTTCAAAGGGGCAATGTGCGCCTCAGGTAGTTTCAGGGTCCCTTTGGTCCGCGTCATTCCAGCAACCCCATGAATGCATGTTTTGGGGGCGCTGGCATGATGTGGACCAATCACAAGTGATTGATAGGGTATATAAACCTCCCTAGCCCTGTACACTTTGCCTTATTGTGGTTTCTATTCCAGTACCCTTTAGTGCGTTCCTTGTATTATTGTTCTGGTATTGACCTTTGTTGTGAGTGTGCTTTAACCCTTTCCTGTGTTTGCCTACTTGACTGATTATGGTGTACCTGATCTCTGCTTGTATTTTAAGGCCTGGTTTTACGTTATTTTCCTTTCTTGTCCCCTGTTGTCCTGAACTCTGCGTGTTAGGATATTACACCATGAAAGTAGGTTTCTAGCACAAATAGCTGAGTGGTGGAAGCAGCTCAGACAACCCAAACCACAGTCTCGTTGATCCAATTCAGAAAAGGTGGGTGTGATGAAGGGAGGGTGTAACACCTTAGGAGATTAGTCTATAGAGCTAAGAGTAGCTCAACTTTATACACCTGAGCAGTACAATAGAAGTAAACATAACAAAACATTTATAACACTGATACAAAATTACTTTCTTAAAGTGAACAGTTTGAGAAAGCATTACTGAAGGTGAAAAGTGTGTGTTATTAATCTATGATATTGCTTTTACATCTATTTAAAGAATAAAGTAGTTTATTTTACAATATCCCGGTTTCCTATTCCTGCGGCTTAACCCCTTTTACTTTGGTGGGGAACATAACACCTAAGCCATATAGACTGAGCAAAACCAATATTTTGCTCCATGACAGTGAATACCTCTCTAATATTTGTTTATTGGTTTTTATTTTTTGTTATCTGCATAGATAGACCTCAAGATTTCCCATCAACAAACAAGATCTTTCAGTGGGGATTACACTACTGGATGCTGCTTTCTGGGAGCTAGCTGAATGCTCCAAAATTTGTGAGTGTATGTTCACTTATTTGATTTTTTCCCCTATAATCTAACATTTTACACTAGATTGGGATTCTCTTTTTGTTTATCCTTCATACTTCCTAAAGTATTTGCCATTGAAGCTAAGACCAGAAAAGGCATCCCCAGGCAGAGAATGTACCGCCAGGAGTATAAAGTAGAGCTACTCTTAGCTCTATAGACTAATCTAAGGCGCTACTCCCTCTCTTCATCACGTACGTCAATGTATAACGGTTTTAAAGAAAACAATTTAAGCTTCCCAGGATGATGATGACCCAAGTTTACATAAATAATGTATTTAGAAAAACAGCAAAATCAAGAATTGAGGTATCTCCCTGAGAGCCAGGGGGAGCACCCCCTATTCAATCCGCAGAAGCTCCCGATATTTGACCAGCCAAAGCCATATTCACTGAAGCCATGCTGTGGTTCTGTGTATCAAAGACTGTGCTTGTGATAATAAAAAACAGTTGTACTCCCAGAATCAAGTGTCATCTGTTAACTGGGAGAAAGAGCTATATTCACTAACCAGCGCTTCTTCCAGCTACGAGGGGAAATTAGCGGAGATATCCAGTCAGGATATAGGAGCTCAGCCACAGCGGAAGAAAATAAGCTTACCGAGAAGCAGAGTCTCTGATTGGACGGTGAATGGAGACGAAATATTAAGTGCTAAAGCTAACCACCCTCCAGGAGATCCTGGAAGCAAGGGGCAAGCAATAAGTCCAAAAGCTAGCCTTGTTGCTGAACTCATGGAGGAGGGTTGGTCCAGCAGTGCCTCGTCCCATTCCTTGGCTGACGAATCGAATTTCAGTAAAAAGTTTAGATCAGACTGGCAATCTCTGGAGGGATCAGTGTCAGCCAACTCCAAGGGAAAACCAAAAATTCCCTATGAAGCCTCTAAATCATTTGTTGAATCTGAGGAAGATGTTGATGGCTTCCTCCAAAACTTTGAAAGGCAGTGTAACCTGCATAACATCAACCCTGCGTTCTGTGTCCTGCTCCTGGCCGGCAAACTCTCTGGCCGAGCAGCAGAAGTTTACCGGGCGGTTCCAGACGTAGATATCAAAAACTATGCTTGGGTAAAGGAGGACCTTTTGCCATCACTTTAGAGGCATACCAGCGGTGGTTTCGAGAACTAAAAAAGAGCAAAAGGGACTATTCATGCTGAATGCACAGAGTAGCTGTTGGATGGTGACAAGCGTACCAGACCAAGATCATGGAAGATCTGGTCTAATTAGTTCTCCTGAATTAACTTTTTCTGTCCAGGTATTTCTAAAGACATTAGGCTGTATTACCAAATATGTGATACCTGTCAGAGGGTAGGAAAGAGGGGTGACCGAAGCAAAGTATTATTGAGGAACCATTCTTCTTGATAGGACCCCCAGCTAAGCCTAGTTAATCCGGCAAGAATCTTAACCGTGGGAGTATGTGACTAGGTACCTAGAGGTGGTGGCGCTGACCATTATCCACGCAGAGAAGGTAGCGAAGGCCCTGATGTGAATCTTCTCCTAAATGAGATGTTCCTGGCAGATAGTTTTGGATCAGGGCACCCAGTTCATGGCAGAGGTCACCCACTCTGGAGACTCTGCGGCATCAAGCCCATCCAGAGCTCCCCTTATCACCCCCAGACCAATGCCCTCTGCGAATATTTCAATGGGACATTAAAGCAAATGCTAAAGCAGGTCCGTACTGACAAGCTGCAAACCCCCTGGCAGGGTCCATACCAGGTGGTGGAACAGAAATGTGACACCACCTATGTGGTTGGTCCTTGCTCTGGTGAAGGGGTGAGACGTATGCACCGTGTGAATATGCTCAAGCCTTATCACAAGAGAGTGGAAGAAGCTTTTCTATGGACTGACTGAATGTGCGCGCGGCTCTTGGTGCGCATGCGCGTTCAGCGGATGACGTCGTAAGAGGGAGGAGAGTCCCCGGCGCTGGAGAAAGGTAACAATTTAACCCCTTCCTCCCCCTTCAGTCCGGCGGGAGAGGGACCCAAAGACCTTATAGAGCCAGGAAAACGAGTTTGTTTTCTTGGCACTACAGGGGTCCTTTAAGTCAAAATCACCAAAGTGAAAACTGATTTGACTTGGAAATTATTTCTACTTCAGTTATTTGACCTAAATTTTTAAATTCTATAGACACTATAGGCACCTAGACAACTTCAGCTCATTGATGTGGTCTAGGTGCAATGTCCCTTTTGCACTTAGTGCTGCAATATTAAATATTGCAGTTCCAGAGAAATTGTGATGTTTACATTGCAGCTCTTAGTCTGCCTGCAGTGGCTGTCTACCACAGCCACTGTGGGCGCTTCCTGGATCGAAATGAACCTTTGGTTAGGTATTGGACGATGGACGTCCTCATGCATGAGGACAACCAGCGTCAGACTTTTTCCCATAGGAAAGCACTGATGTAATGCTTTCCTAATCGGGAGGTTTAATGCATGTGCAGCATTTGCCGGGCATGCGCATTAGCGCCGGCTCATCGCGGGACGTTGGAAGGGGGAGGAGCCACGACCCAGCGCCGAGGGACATGGACGCTGGGAAAAGGTAAGTAAATAAAGGGTTTTAAACAATCCCAAAAAACTGAATGAAACACTCCTAATTGGTGGCAATCTTCCTGGTCCAGGAGAGGTCTGCCTGCTGTTTATGCTTGTAGTATATTGCACTAGAATAAGTTTCTTTCTTTCTTTTTTTATTACAATCTCATCAAATTCTCTAAGCAGAACGGTTCATTGCCACATTATAACATTATCCTTTAATATACATTGGCTTACTAATAACCCATAAAGCTTAAAACAAAAGCAGACTATAATTCGTAGATTATTTATAAAATACCAACATAATCTACAGTGTTGTACAATTAGAGAATGCAAATATTTGACACGTTATTAACATATAAAAATAAAGAGACAACCGGTGAAGAAGCCCCTGCTGAAAGAAGTCTTACAACCTATTAGTTAAGTGTTAAGACTATACTTGGGAGCTGCTGAAATTTGAATTTCTCAGATGAAAAAAACATTTGTTTTGTCCGAACCGAATTACTTTCATTTGACCTTTTTTTTTCCAGATGAAATTCTGACATTTTTATTTTGGAATTTCATCTTGCAGTCATTTAGTAGATAACTCTCCAAATGATCTAATAAAATATTTTCTCTATTGCTTCCTTTTTTTATTATTTTATTTTAGCCCCCCCACCCTCTGTTGACTAGAAGTCCACAAGCCACAAAAAAAAAAAAAAATAAAAGACGAAAAAATAATCTACCTTCCCCCGACAAGGGCTCTGCGCAGAATGAGCTTGCAGAGCGAGGAAAGTCTTAAATAAAGCATTTGACTCAAAGTGCTGATTGATTGGCTTAAGCCAACCAGAGTGCTCTGACAGGTAAATCCTGAGACTTACCCGTCACTGTTTAATAGAGATGCCTCTACTTGCAGCAGGGCAAGAAGGAGGATTATAACCTCCCTTATATTAATATGGGGGGTCTGATTGGCCCCATAGGTTGAAGGTGGTGCATGGAGGATTTAGGAAGCATCGGGGAGCTGTGTTACTATTTATAAATACTACCAGGAGGGAGCCAATTAAAATGAACGAATATTGAATAGCACTACGATCTTAGTTTCATTAATTGTAATTTCTATTTGTTCATTCTACTTTCGGAAATTTGGACAAAAACATGTTTGTCCGAAAGCGAATGCCCAAATCTAGTGAAGAAATAGACTTGATACACAGAGAATTAACAGAACGTCAGCGAGGAAGAGGGGCTAATGTAAAAAATATATCTGTGTCAAAATAAACGAGAAACAATGGTGTGTGGAACAAGCAGTAGAAGGAGAGTGAGCAAAGTGGACTATAGTGGTGAAGAAACAAAGTAAGACAATTGTAATGAGAGAAGCATCACCCAGGAAGATGGATAGCTTTCCTAAGAATTCTTAAAGGACTGCAGAATAGGGGAGTGTCTTAAGGCAGTGGGGCAGGGAAATCCAAAGAAATGTAGCAGCCCTTGAAATTTTCTGCAGATATGAGTTGGGTACAGAAAGCTAATATAATGATTAGCAAGGGGGTGAGTTCTGGGAGAGGTGGTCCATCAGGAATATAAGCCTGGCAACATTTTTCATTGCAAACTAAAGAGAGAGTCAATGTAGGAAGTTCCATGACCGTTGAGTTGCAATAGTCAAGTCAGGAAATGATAAGTGCATAAACAAGTGCCTTGTATTTTGAGTTAGAAAAGGGCAAATTTGGTAAATATTGGTAAAAGATATAGGATTTGGAGACAGACTGAATGTGATAAAAAAGGTAAGACCTAAGTCAAGGTAACTCCAAGGCAGCAAGCTTAAATGGTTGGAGTAATAGGTGTCTCCCGTGGTGTGCAGGGAAATAAATGGAGGAGGGCCATTTGGGGGGGAAGAAGAAGAATTCAGCTTTAGAAATATTATTATAATTATCATAGCCATTAATATAGCATCACCAGATTCCATAGTGCTTTACAATATTATGAGAGGGGGGATTTAACTATAAATAGGACAATTACAAGAAAACTTACAGGAACGATAGGTTGAAGAGGACCCTGCTCAAACGAGCTTACAGTCTATAGGAGGTGGGGTATAAAATACATTAGGACAGGAAATAGCAATCAAATAAGGTGGGAGTGAAGCAGAGCTGGAGGAGAGAATAGAGTAGAGAGAATAGAGCAAGAGACAGTACAGGTTACTCTGGGAGGCCATAAGCTTTCCTAAAGAGATGGGTTTTAAGGCACTTCTTAAACGATTGAAGAATAGGGGAGAGTCTGATGGCGGGAGGCAGGCTATTCCATAGGAGCTGCCCACGAGAAGTCCTGCAAGCATGAGATGGCCGTACAGGTACGAGCAGTGGACAGGAGAAGGTCACAAGCAGAGCGGAGAGACCGAGAAGTGGCATACCTATGGATCTGTGAAGAAATATAAGAGGGGCTAAATCTTGCGTAAGAATTGGGCGGATGCGGGCTAAGATGGTATCTACAGTATTTGGCAACATACTGGATGTGAGGCTCAAAGGTGAGGCCAGAGTCAAGTATGACGCCAAGACAGCGTGCTTGCAAGGATGGATTTATGTGGATACCACTTTTCAGAAAGCGGGAGGACATCCAGTCAGAGATGGGGACATCGGCGCTTGATTCAGGTAAGTCACTGAAGGGGTTTTAACCTCTTCAATGCTGCAGGAGGGTGGGCATGAGGGAGAGGGGCACTGTAGGATTCTATAGTGCCAGGAAAACGGCTTTGTTTTCCTGGCACTATAGAAAACCTTTAAGAGTGGAAGAAGGAACAAAATGAAAGCAGAGTATTGGTGGAAAGGAGGAAAGAGAGGAGACTGCATTCCTAATTTGGTTGATCTGATCAATAAAGCAACATGCAAAATCACTAGCTGTGAGGTTACTTAATGCATGGCTCGACAAATCCCAGACACCAGGCCGCCACAGCGACTAGAAATTTAGTTAGAGTGTCTGAATGTGTATGTGTGTGTGAGCCTGTCAAGAGTATGCGTGTGTGCGTTTAGGTATCTGCATGAGGAAGGTGTTTTTACTCACGCTGTGGCAGTTTCGCAATGGCTGAGATTATAAATCTTTATGATCTCAGCTAAGCCAATGCTTTCCCTTAGGAAAGCTATGGGAGATTTTTGTGCATGCGCAGCAAATGTACCAATCCGCATCTCCTCATAGAAATGCATCAAATTAATGAATCTCTATGAGGAACATTCAGCGCCTCCAAGCAGAGCTTGGAGACACTGAACTTGGTGCAGCAGTGACCCAGGACTCTCTAGTGGCCGTCTGAGTGACTGTCACTAGAGGTGTTACTAAGCAGCAATGTAAACTCTGCCTTTTTGCAGAAACGCCTGCATGGACAAGCTATAGACACCAGAACAACTACATCAAGCAGTAGTGGCTCTGGTGACTATAGTGTCCCTTTAAGAATTGCAGTTTCTCATTGAAAATGACTGGCTTTTAATTAACTTTTTTAGCTGGTTCCTAGATTCCAAACAAATTTTTCAAGCCCTGGGTTAATGGCTTGGTTGTTTTGGGATAGAGAAGGGAGTTAAGAGTATGAATAAAGGCATTAAAAAAATAAAAAATTCTAATCCTAGTCAGTGGTGAAGTGGTGAAGAGAAGTGATGAGAACAAGAAAACACAAACTAAAATGCATGGACTGAATAATCAGTAGATACATAGGACATTATATATGATTTGAACATTGAGTGCACACCCCTTCATCAAGTTTTTATACATCATCAATAACTATGTGGTCTGTGATCCTGAAATGCACTTACTTAGAGTAGATTCTAGTTTCAAGCACTGCTTGTGCAATCAACTTTTGGATGTCCAGTGGAAGCAGTGTCAGGTCTCCTAGAACTCGAATACACACACCATGTTTTTGCAGCTTGTCCCTGTGTATAGAAAGGTTGATAGAACACCTGCCATGAAATGTTCCTAACATCCACAGTACATAGTTATCAACAATACACATTTAGTTGTGTTTATCAGTAATCGAACAAAATAGGACACCCTTCAGCTTGTGTCCTTTAAAATTCTATACAGGCATACTACTTAATGTAGCAAATCAGAAGATATCCTTGCAAATGTGTCATGCAAGAGTGATATCTGAAATACTATATACACATATCATGTGACTGCACAACCAACACTATCATTTTTTTTTTTTTTTAAATTGCCACATACTTACTATTTCTGAAATCACACCCTTCACAAGAATAAGAGGGGAAAAAAAACAAAAACACTCCTTGCTAAGTTGCTACAACAGTACTTGAATCTTGTCCCACCCACAGGCTCCTTACGTCTCCTCCAGTAGTCGGATAAATTTCTGCCGAGCCAATTCCATGAGGCCAGCTACTTCTTCTTCTGAACGCTTAAAATTTTCAATGCTGAAGGCATAAACGGTCACCTCACAAATACCCAAGTTCAGACACCAACGCAGAGTCTGTAAGATAGAACGATAACTTAATATGCCATCTACCTCACAAAATCTAGAAACCCATCCTGGTATGTGTTATAACCTCTGCAAGCTTTTCAAAGCCCTGGGAGTGGCCCTCCTGCCGCTCCACATGGCACTTCTGCGCATAGCGGCGGTTCCCATCCATAATGAAAGCAACATGTTTGGGCATGGGGCCAGCCTAAAGAGGGGGAGAAAAAAATAAAAATGTCATCACCACTACAGCAATATCCAGCTCCTAAGACAAGTTAAATTAAAAATATAATTTTAAGGGGTATGGTTGCTGCAAAACAATTTTATTAAGCAACACCTAAGAAAAATGCATTTTTATTTTAGACAGATAGCTGTCATTTGTCTTATTTTGCAAATGCAAGATTTGATTTTAAATGCTAAAATAAAATAAATGAAACAAATTGGAAGCTACAACAAAATACAATCTTAAAGGATACAAGAACAAAATTCAATACTAAAGTAATATTAGTAAATAGGTCATATTTATGTCTAATTTCAAAACAATATGTTGAAATGAAAGAAGCCTAACCTTCAGCACATTTGCACATACACGCTCAATCAATGACAACTCTTTATCACGTATCCATGACATGGTTTGTCCAAGCTGGAAAACAAATGATGGAATTAGTAATATGGTATCATTCACGGTTTTAAATGTTTTTTTCTTTTAAATCAGACATGCTATATCCACACCTAAAAATGTAGGCAAGTGATTCCTAGATTGTAAGCATGTTTGGGCAGGGCTTTCTTCAATGCTTGTGTGTTCCTGTTTGTCAGTTATCCGTATATGTAAATTACTGTTAAATAACCCCATTGTTTAACTGTAAAGCACTAGGGAATATGTTTGCGCTATATAAATGCCAGCAATAATAGTAGATTTTATATCGGTGGTTGAAAGTTGTGGCCTAAAGGGACACTGAAGACGCTGTTAACTGCTTTATCTTATTGAAGTAGTTATAGTCAATGTCAGGAGTCCCCTGGCAGTGTCCTTCCATTCAGCGTTAAACAGTTTATAATGTTTTAATGCTAAATAAGAGAGTTACCTGCAGCGCATCTCCTGTGCTGATTGGGCTAAGGAGGATACATTAGCCCGAATAGCAATGGGCAGTGCTGATTCGCTGAGAGTCTTGGCTGATTTCTTTCAACCTATGACACTCATCCTTTGCTGATATAAATTGGTATGGCTAAGGAATAGTGTAATCTATGCCTTAAAGGGGCACCGCCACCCAAATGCAAAAATAAATTGAAAATCACCATTTAGTACATACGTCCACAATAACAAAATTGCAAGCATTTAATTTTTTTTTAAACTAGTAGTATATCTAAAAAGAAATCACAAGAGCTACAGATCTCTTTCCTGCAGCCATTGCAGACCTCCCCTTCTTTCCCAATCCATACTTTATGTGACTGTACAATCAGAGACCTCCCAATTCAGTTCAATGAGGAGTCTTGGCAAGGCAGGTGCTTTGGGTAATTGTGTTCCTCTTGAGTTTAGTTCCATTGAGCTAAACAACCAGGAAGTAACAGAACCAGTTGTCTGATTGACAGCCAGTGGGTTTAACGTACAAAACCTTTATCAAATTAATTTTCTATTGCAATCTGCAATTTTGTTTTGTAAAATGAACACAAAGAAAAAAGCGACTCTCCAGATCCTTAAAGCTGAAGTGCTTTAGGGGTCTGGAGAGTCCCTGGATTTCTGCAGCGATACGGTGGGAGTTTTCCAGAAAAACACAAGGCTGGAAAGATAGCGACAGTCAGTTTAGTTCTTTTAGCATGTCACAATGGTGTAAGTGAGTTATACAATGTATTAAGTTTATTAAGGTGGGTTTGCAGTGCAGGTGCATATACTACACCCCAGAATCAATGATTGGCATCAGCATTTGCTGTACAATCTTTACTTTTACTGTAGGGCTTAGGCAGGATTTGTTTCTGTACATGGCACGTAGTTTTGGATCAGGTTTAGATGCAAGTATTTCCATGACAAGTTAGACAACTGTATTGAACGTAAAACCAAATTACAAAATATAGATTATTTGAGAGAACTCTTCCACTCAGGTAAAGTAACAGTTTAAGAGTTATTCACAAAACTAGGAATATCTTGGCTATTTTAGCCCCAATTTTGCCACTCAAGTTTATTTTGCTCAATTTCAGTTTAGTGAATAACCCTGCTTGGCTAGTTTAGCCTGAATTTGGTTTTATATGCAATACTACAATGCAATGTTTAGTAAATAAATTCATTTTAAGTGATGACTGAGACATTTTCAGGACTCAAACTAATTTTGTTGCCATAGGATGGAGAAGTAGTACATCAGCAGTGTATGGTATAAACAAATCAAAAGAGACAACTTTTAGCCGTTATGGCTACTAGGATTACGCAAGGACTGCTTTAACATAACCGTGTCATGTTTCATTTAGAAGCTCAATCCCACCCATAGCTGAGATTGGGGATGAGATTGATAGTGACATATGTTGTATCTTTTATATTCACTGCATCGTATCAATGCACTGCCTCCTTTCAACCTTTATCTACAATCAGAACTTATCTGTAACATATCTTAAATAAAAAAGACCCACCTCCTGCGTAACAACCTACAATGGGATTCCAGCTAAAGTCTATCCAGTAGCCACTGACAAAAGTAGCCTTCAACTCCCCATGTACTGCTTACAAAACACTTCCGCTTTCACCGGCAGTGGCGACGCACGAAAATGACGCAATTGTTTCCAAGGTTTGCTACGACAAGACATGTTCTAAACACATGCTGCGACGGTTTGAAATCCGTGTCTCTAGTGGAGGAATCATTTTGGTGGAGCCAATTGCCCTGAATACTATTTGATTTAAAAAAAAAAAATGTCTGCAGCAAAAATAATGTTTTGAAGATTTCAAAATAATAACCTCTAGAAAACAATGCAAGCTCTATTTTGCACCAAATTCAGTTAGTTCCCTGCCCTTGTTTGCATTTGTCTGCGCATGCAGATTTCAAATTATTATTATTTATTTTCATTTTTTATTCGACCGCAAGAGTGTACATGATTTGGGAATCGCAAAATCCAAATCATATATAGCCCTGTTGGGAAAATCTCCGTGTCTACTTTTTTTCTAATTTGGCTGTTTTTCAATTTTAAATTGTTAGCTAAAATAATCTTATTTGCTGGTGATATCCTGCTTAGTGCTTACTCTGACATCCCACGTCACCTTTCTCGCAAATATTATTATTGCCATTTATATAGCGGTAACAGATTCCGTAGCGCTTTACAATATTATGAGAGGGGGGATGTAACTATAAATACAACAATTACAAGAAATCTTACAGGAATGACAGGTTGAAGAGACCCTGCTCAAACGAGCTTACAGTCTATACATATGCTTGCTACATTATCTTAATCGGGTGCAGGGGTGGACTGATAACTCACAGGGCCCTCAGACAATAAGGGATCAAAGGCCCCCCACCCCCTTCCTGTTGCAAGGATTTTGGCTACTACTCTTCTCCCCCTTCTTTGTGCAGCTCTGCACAGATATTACATGCGTACTGCCCAGCACCCAGAATTTCTGTGAGAGCCACATAGGTATGACTCCCTGGGATAGGGTTGCCTACCGGCACAGCCGGTATTTGATGCACGGTGGCCGAAGCCGGTATTGCAAAAGTACCGGCAATATAATTGCCGGTATTTTTCTTTGAAGAGAATGTGCTGCAATATCGGTACCGGCCACCAGGTTCAAGGAGATGAAAGCATGGCAGTCGGAGCTGTGTTTTGAGTTTCAGGTAGTTGAATAACTTGAGGAATGTTTATTCAGAGGGGAGGGCAAGTCCCTTTTAAAGCAAAATTACATCATAAGCATTGTCAGAGATAACATGGAATAATATGGTATCAATTGGTTAGGTGTTAAGTAGTTATCTTAGTGCTCTGCCTACTAGAGGTGATGTCACTGAGACCATGAGGGTCTCCCCCAGATCTCAGCGCCATCTTGTTACACGAGGTAGTTAGTCGAGGTTATAAGGAGGGAGGGGTTAGAAACTTCTAGCAGCCATTTTGTCTAAATATGCGTGAATAGCTTATCTACTGATTTCAGTGCAATGGGTAAATAGACATTTTACTAACTACAAAGATATATGTGTATATGTCCATATTTTATTTCCACAACAGTCCCCCCTTAAAATGGCTATTTACCATAACAACTGCAGCTGTCCTTTACACATCCCTAGCTGCCTGCAGCTCATCTGTCTTAACGAGCATCGAACTCTTCACTCCGTGGGTAACCCGCGGTGGCTAATCCACCACATCTCCACACGTGAGACTTGCCCGTAGAGACAGACGCTATCCCTACAGGAGTGCAGTTGCCTGTTTGAATTGGTGAGGTTGAAGGGGTGTGTGTGGTATGTCATAGTCTAGTTCCGTAATATCCTGATGTAGGAAGGTAGGAGTTGCGTCATCTATAGTCTTCCCCACTGCTTTCTGTAAGTACCTTTGTATGCAAGGAAACACACAACAGATTAAGAACAAGAAGACAATGAGCACTATAAGGACCGCAGTTCCATCCTGGAATAAAGTTCTCTGCCAACCATTCATCCATCCAAACTACCTGTCCCAAGTATCCATGACTCCTGAATTCTTCTTCAATTCATCTGAGAGACTATCCAGTTTCTCTATAGCCATAGTTACCTTACCATTGGGCCCAGTATTGTCTGGAATGAATGTGCAACATGTCATGGTTTCGGGGAGAATCTTGCAAACGCCCCCCTTTTCTGCTAATATCATGTCCAGGGCCATTCTATTTTGGAATGTAATTTGTGTGGTGGCTTGCAACTGTTCTGCCAGGCCCTGTAGGGCATCCCTGGTGTAATTAACAAATCGTTGTTGATTGTAATAGATATAGTTAATCCAATTGACATTCTTGTTGGCTGTGATCATTGGAATTAAGGATTCAAACCCAGCTGTTACTTCATCTCTTGCTTTAAATTCATTAGGCACCCCCCTTGGCACACCTATGGCATCTATGTAAACATGTGGGTCAAAACTACCACGGATTAGGGCCTCCCTTTTAGTTCTATGGCTTGTATGTGTGTGGTCTGACTCATCATGATAGCCATCAGGGATAATGTGAATGGGCATTATGGCTTTTGTTAGTGTACATTCACCCCACCACAGCCCCACTAGCTGGGATCTTAGTTGCTTATCGCCACACAGCCGGTATATGTCTCCAGCTGTCTTTACATGATTCATTAATAATGTTACGGGTGGAGTGTGATAGGTGGAGCAATAACCTGATGGAAATTTACCCATGTACGACCCTGTGTTCTTAGATATTGAATAACAAGTGTAATTACCTGGATACACGGTGACTCCATCAGGTGGCTTAACATGTCCTTGGATAACAGGATAAACCTTTTTCCATGACTCACACATGGAAGAGTTAGTAGTGGATTGTGCATACAGACTCAAGACACATGTCTCAACTTCGGGAGGTAGATTTAAAGGTACTGTGCCTAGGTGAGGCCTAGCTCCCCCACACACATAACAGTTAGTCTTATTATGTGAATTAGCATTGTACCTCATCCATTCCAGCCATAAATTAGTATCTGAAAACTCTGTCTCGACTGCCATGGTGTCCTCAAAGGTAGGGTTAGCGATAGCAACCATGTCATGTAAAGTTTTAATGTGAGGTTTAAGTGGATTGATAGTCATATGCGTGGTGCCTACCCAGTCAGATGAGTTGAATATGTCTTGTAAGTAGAATGTCCCCAGCTTGTTGTGTGTGCCGCCCCCCTTCCAATACATGCCCATCACATATTCGCCTGCATCCCCAGGACTGGGATGCTCTATGTTTAGTGTGAGTTTGATGGGGGTTGACCCAGTAGGTTTGGTTAAAGTCATTCTAGAGAGTAAGGGTTTCCCGTCCTGGTCAAGTCTGTCAAGGGCACTCTGTGGTCTATATCCCCATGGTCTGCCCGTGTTCCACCCGGCTGCTTTCCATGAACCACAATGATGGCCCCAAGATCCCCCCGTCACACAAATATATGGATCTTTTTTACTGGGTATGTCCTTGTATATGGATGCATACTGTGTTTGTGGGAAGGTGCAAGTAACAATATCACAATAATCGAAGGTGAACGTGGCTACATCTGTACATGAAGAATTGTACCAGAAAGTGTAAACATTGTTATCTTTGGTTATGGCCACCTGTTGGGCCCATGCAAGTTTTAGCAGCATAAAGAAACACAGGAGACACAACAAATTCATGGTTCAGAGAGGGTGGTTTCTCCTGGAGCAGGCACTTTCTTGCAGTGTGAGGCGTGTATCCAGGAACTCTTCCCAGCCAATTTGACAGAGGTAGCTGTAATTAGAAGTACTTGGTAGGGACCATCAAATCTCGGCTCAAGAGTGTGTTTTCTGAGAAATTTCTTGACCATAACCCAATCACCAGGAAGCAACTTGTGTGTACCTGTATTCGACTCAGGATCTGGAATAGAAGAAAACACTTGGGCATGGATTTTGGTCAAGGCACGAGAGAGAGCAGTAACATAATCTACCATAGCATCTGACTGTATCTGAAGCTGCTGGGGGAAATAGCAACCTAATCTGGGTGCAGTGCGAAACAGAATCTCATAGGGAGATAAATTACATTTTCCCCTAGGGGTGTACCTCACACTGAATAGTGCTAACGGGAGACTCTCGGGCCAGGGCATGTTAGTTTCCTGAGACATCTTGAGCATTCTGGCCTTTAATGTGCCATTCTCGGGCCAGGGCATGTTAGTTTCCTGAGACATCTTGAGCATTCTGGCCTTTAATGTGCCACTACTCTGTGGATGATATGGCGTGTGGAAGGCAAGGGTCACCCCCAGTGCTGTCCAGACTTCCCGAGTTAATGAGGCAGTAAAAGAGGTTCCTTGATCGCTTTCAGTTACTTCTGGAACACCGTATCTGCAGACAATTTCTGTTAGAAGATGTTTGGCTGTTGTCCTGGCTGTAAGATTAGCCACTGGAAAAGCTTCCGGCCATCCTGAGAACATGTCCACAATAACTAATGCATATTCATAGCGCCCACTCTTTGGCATCTGGATCTGGTCAATCTGTATTCTCTGGAAAGGATATTGTGGTTTGGCCAAGTGGTTGGGTGCAGTCTTCGCAACCTTTCCAGGGTTGCATTTGGCACAAATTGCACAGGATTTACAATAATTCTGTGTCAAGGTAGTGATGCCTGGTGCTTCAAAGTATGTATCAATCAGGTGCTTTGACAGGTGAGCTGGTCCATGAGCCCATTGGACAACCGCTGGGTACATATTTTTGGGTAGACAAAATTTAAGATTAAGGGTGTAAACATCATCCTGAAGGATGGCTCCCCTGCTCTTCCAACTCTGCTTTTCCTGAGGAGTTGCAGCAGCTTGCTGTTCCTTCAGAAGGTTGAGATCTGTAGGCAGTGTTTGCATAGTATAGACAGGTATTGTTTCAGTAGCCACTCTTCTGCCCACTTCCCACCCTTGTCGTGCTGCATCCTTGGCAGCTTGATCTGCTAGATGGTTGCCTCGTGCTTCTTCTGAGTTCAGTCTTCCATGGGCCTTTACTTTAAGCACTGCTACCTCTGCTGGTAGTATCAAGGCGTCCATTAGTTCTTTGATGGCTAGGCCATGTTTCACTGGGGTTCCAGCAGCTGTGAGGAATCCTCGGGTTTTCCAAATTAGGCCAAAGTCATGTGCTACTCCCAAAGCATATCTTGAATCCGTATAGATATTAACACGGAGGCCCTCGGATAATTTGCAGGCCACTGTGAGAGCTATCAATTCAGCTTCTTGTGCTGACTTGGTTAATGGAAGCGCGGCTGCTTGCAGTACTTGGCATTCTGTGGTAACTGCATATCCAGTGTGATACTGCCCTTGTTCATCAGCAAATCTAGAACCGTCTACAAACAATGTCTGGTCTGGATTTGGTAGGGCTACTTCATGTACGGTTGGTAAGTGGGTAGTTTCCATCTTCATTTGTTCGAAGCAATCATGAGGGGCCTCTGGATCCTGTTCCATAGGTGGGAGGTCTTCACAGATTTCTTTGTGATGTCGAGGAAACCCTGTTGTATTACAATTGATGATTCTTTTAGTGATTCCCGATGATTCAAGTTGTTCTTGGGTCATAGTGCTCCAGGATTTGGCCATTGGGCCAAGATCTTGCCATAGGGTGTCAGGGGACTTGGTGAGAGAAATATGGGGAACAGCCGTTTCCCAATGGCGGTAGAGATGAGACACTCCTGCTGGAAGATGTACCAATAGGAGCATGTTGCATCTGGAGTCCCACAACAGGTCTGTCAATGTGATGTGAATTTCAATCAGTTGGAATAGTTCTTCTTCATAATCCACATTGGGGCCTGGAGTCAGTGTGTGTCTTTTGCCAGGGTTCCAGGACCAGTGACATGGCATGGGCAAACTGAGTAGGTGAATTCTGAGCTCCCTGGGGCATAACAGTCCAAGTATATTGCTGTGAAAGCAAAAAGATATTGGCAAGATGGGTCCAGGGGAACACTGAAAAAGGCATTAGCAAGGTCCACAACTGTGAAAACTGTGGCAGAGGGCGGAACCTGTGACAGTAATGTATGGGGGTTTGTAACAACAGCTGAGTCTTTGACAGTGACATCATTAACTGCACGTAGGTCTTGAACCATACAGTACTGGTCAGGCCAGGCCCGGACTGGCCATCGGGCACACCGGGCAAATGCCCGGTGGGCCGCGATGGCCGTGGGGCCGAGGCCGGCAGGGAGATCACAGGATCTCCCCGGGCGGCCCCTGCAGGGCCAGCGCTATCCGAGCGCCAGCCCTGCTGTGTGCCTCCATGGGCCGGTGGGGAGATCAAA